ACCAATCAAATGACAGATTAAAAAATATTTTTTCTCATAGAGAAATCTGATTTACAATTGAAATACGTTTTAGGCCTATTTATTTATTTTTAATGCATATTTTAATTGTTTTAAACAGGTTCTTATTTTTAATAAGCGACTACAATGGTCAGTAGCAATTCATTGCTGTCAATCAGGTGGAAGTGCAGGTCATTATTTTTAAAATAACCTCCTTTTCTGCCTCAATGACCCTAATAATAACCTGCTGTTCTATCTCACTGAGATAGAACAAAAAACAATGAAAATATGCATTAAATTGGATAATGCACGAGCTCCTCGGCCTTCTTAAAAATAATGACCTCCTGCGCAAACTCCTTGTCCTTCTTAAAAATAATGACCTTGACCTTGCGCTATATATAGGCCTGATCGCAGATTATGGCGATCACGACTTTTGAGTGATGATATTTATAAATTTTCATTTACTTCGGGACATTTTCCGTGCGACATGGCATACTGCTTCACAGCCATTAAATATACTAAAATTTCGGAAAATATTTAATACATATGAGACGGGTTGTTGTAGGTGGTTGTAGATTGTTGTAGCGTTGTTGTAGGTGGTTGTAGGTGGTTGTAGATCGTTGTAGCGTGTTTGTAGGTGGTTGTAGGTCGTTCCTTACTTTAGTACCTACGTCTTTTGAGAACTGCAGTATACTATCTTCATCCACATTTGCAGCTAAATATTTATTAAATATTAATATTAAATATATTATTTAAAGATAACTTTTGAACTGTACTGAATCAGGACTCCTATAGAAGGTTTGTTAGAACATGCATGCATATTTATATCATTTTAAATACATGCACATGTGCAGCATTGTACTAGCTTTAATACCTTCAAGGACACTACACGCTTCTGGTTTTTCCTCTCGTATTTGTTCCATATATTACTGTTAGTTATGGTTGGTGCCTTGTGCTGAGTATTAATTTCTGTAAAATGAACCTCTTTGACGTTCGAAAGAGTAAAAAACGTTTAAAAAAATACACTGTTTTACACAAAAGCCCACTAATTCGAAAGAGGTAGTCAAGTGGGTAATAATTCGATGTCCTATATACACCAATATAGAGAACACACACATTTTATAACCCTTTATATACCTCATTAAACATCATCATATATCATTACTCATTGTTATACATCATCTTACACAATTATACATCATTCAGTGTCATTCAACATCATTCAGCATCATTTAGCATCATTTAGTATCATTCAACATCATTTAACATCATTCAGTATCATTCAACATCGTTCAACATCGTTCAGCATCGTTCCGCATCATTCAACATCATTCAGTATCATTCAGCATCATTGAACATCATTCACCATCATTTAGCATCATTTTAGCATCATTTTAGCATAATTTAGCATCATTCAGCATCATTCAACATCATTCAGCATCATTTAACATCATTCAGCATCATTTAGCATCATTCAACATCATTAAGTATCATTAAGCATCAGTCAGCATCATTTAACATCATTTAACATCATTCAACATCATTCAACATTATTCAACATTATTCAACATCATTCAACATCATCCAGCATCATTTAACATCATTGAGTATCATTGAGTATCATTCAGTATCATTCAGCATCATTCAACATCATTTAACATCATTCAGCATCATTTAGCATAGACTTGCCACAAGTCGACAAGAGTCCCTCGCGCGAGGTCGACTTGTCATACTTGCAGGGTTTTCAATTGCATTTCGCGCTAAAAAATGTGAATAAGTTATTGGCTATCAATTAACAGGGGGCTGATTTGTCTAATCGCATCATTATCTAATCGCATGTGCATCATATTTCATATTTGTCACTTCGCTTTGCGAAGCAATCGTCCCCAATATAGGAACTAAATTGACCAAACTGCTAACTTGGTCTGACCAAATTGCTAACTTGGTCTTTCATAAGCGAGACCAGCGGAACGACGATGAGAACCAACGACTTGTTATTTTCCAACAAGTACTCGAAAGCATGCGGAGCTAACTCAAAGGTTAAGCTTTTCCCATATCCTGTCTGTGCCGAAACGAACACATCTCTGCCAGATAGATAGGCTTCAATGGTCTGCCATTGATACTCTTTCAACTCTAAATAGCCAGAAAACTGCTGTGCCTTTTGAATCGCCTTTGAAACCGAATTCTCCATTTAGAAAATGCCTAATTGTATTAAAATTGCAAACACAGAAACCACATACACAGTGTTGAAAGGCAGAACACGAACTACTGCGCAATTTCCTTGTTTCCGGAAGTCTGTTTATAAATACGTCAACATGTCCCCTTCACGCTTCTCTGATTGGTTGAAGAGATCATCAACAAATGAATATACACAATATATATAGATCAGCGTTACTGACCCATTTTGGGGTCAGTAAAATTTGGCACGCTGCAAGTATGACAAGTCGGCTTCGCGCAAGGGACTTCGGCGCTCGCTGCTTGCGTTTCGTTTGAGGCCGACTTGTGGCAAGTCTACATTTAGCATCATTCACCATCATTCAACATCATTGAGTATCATTCAGCATCATTTAACATCATTCAGCATCATTTAACATCATTTAACATCATTCAACATCATTCAACATCATTTAGTATCATTTAGCATCATTCACCATCATTCAACATCATTGATTATCATTAAGCATCATTCACCATCATTCAACATCATTGAGTATCATTCAGCATCATTCAACATCATTCAACATCATTCAGCATCATTCAGCATCATTCAACATCATTCAGCATCATTCAGCATCATTTAGGATCATTCACCATCATTGAGTATCATTAAGCATCATTCACCATCATTCAACATCATTGAGTATCATTAAGCATCATTCAGCATCATTCAGCATCATTCAACATAATTTAGCATCATTCACCATCATTCAACATCATTCAGCATCATTCAACATCATTCAACATCATTCCGCATCATTCAACATCATTCCGCATCATTCAGCATCATTCAACATCATTCAACATCATTGAGTATCATTCAGTATCATTCAGTATCATTCAGCATCATTCGACATCATTCAGCATCATTCAACATCATTCGGCATCATTTAGCATCATTTAGCATCATACAACATCATACAACATTATTCAACATTATTCAACATTATTCAACATCATTCAGCAGCATTCAGTATCATTGAACATCATTTAGCATCATTTAGCATCATTCAACATCATTCAGTGTCATTTTTTGCATAATACATAGCTTAATTCGCTGGTGGAGGTGTACAGTCTGCCTGTCTGCGAGTGTTCTCTAGTTCAAATTAAGTTTTTATTATTATACGTAAAAGTAAAACACACTTACAAAAAATAAGTTCACATGCTCATCGGCACCACGCGCTCGCACATTCACATCAGGGGCGAATTCAGACAGGTTTGACAGGTTTACATAAACCTGTCGGATTTTCCAAAGAAAGAAAATCTATAACCTTCCATCTATATAACTAATTTAAAGAATATTTTGTTTCATAAAATTGATGTTGTGTAATCTATTATTGAAATTTGATTATGGAATACCGAGCGTATTTAGACCTACTGATTATTGCTTTGGCGATTGAGAATCAGGAAATGATTGCGAAGCTCTCACGCTCTTGCAGTTTGGTTTTAGTGTGTCGTTAGAGCTGGATTGAAAGTGTGTAGATCTAAATTGATGTGTCAGCAATTAGCGGATTGTATATCACCCGACACCCTGTACTGCGCTTAATTGTCAAATAAAAACTTATTACCAGTAATAAGTGTCATTAAATAACGGCGGTGAAGCACGCATGGACAAAAGAAGCAAATAGTAAGTCTATAACGGTGGGGGCCCTTATATATATTCTTGTTGTGATCCGGATCTTCGCATCTCTCTGTCACTTTGCCAAGGAGCCCGGCTCAAATATGATATTCATACAATGCCCAAAACGGCCAGGACTCTCAGTTTAACCCAGCCCGGACTCCAGAAAATCGCAATTTCCGTCACCCAATTTGGTAATTTATTAATTAGATGTGATTCATTAAGTGCTCTAATTATCAGATAAATCAGTATGAATAATTCATTACAAAGTAGAAACTAAAATGATTGCAAAAGACGTGCCTTTATCCTTCTCATCTCCTTCGGGTTGTACCGGGTCGATCACTATCGCTGAGCCTGTGGTAGAAGAAGTCTATTGGAAAAAAAAAGTCTGTTTCAATGAAATGCCGCATAATGAAATTATATTCTGTGCACTCACTACAAAGCAAATACAGCTTGACTGAACGAGTAATTACGTAAGTCAGTATATGAATAATTACAAAGTAGAAACTAAAATGATTGTAAAAGACGTGCCTTTATCCTTCTCATCTCCTTCGGGTTATACCGGGTCGATCACTATCGCTGAGCCTGTCGTAGAAGAAGTCTCTATTGGAAAATAAAATAGTCTATGTTCGAATGAAATGCCGCATAATGAAATTATAGCTTGACTGGATGAGTAATTACATAAGTCAGTATATGAATAATTACAAAGTAGAAACTAAAATGATTGTAAAAGATGTGCCTTCATCCTTCTCATCTCCTTCGGTTTGTACCAGGTCGATCACTATCGTTGAGCCTGTCGCAGAAGAAGTCTATTGGAAAACAAAAAAGTCTATGTTTCAATGAAATGCCGCATAATGAAATTATATTCTGTGTACTCACTACAAAGCAAATACAGCTTGACTGAATGAGTAATTACATAAGTCAGTATATGAATAATTACAAAGTAGAAACTAAAATGATTGTAAAAGATGCGCCTTCATCCTTCTCATCTCCTTCGGTTTGTACCAGGTCGATCACTATCGCTGAGCCTGTCGCAGAAGAAGTCTATTGGAAAACAAAAAAGTCTATGTTTCAATGAAATGCCGCATAATGAAATTATATTCTGTGCACTCACTACAAAGAAATACAGCTTGACTGGATGAGTAATTACATAAATCAGTATGAATAATTACGAAGTAGAAACTAAAATGATTGTAAAAGACGTGCCTTTATCCTTCTCATCTCGTTCGGGTTGTACCGGGTCGATCACTATTGCTGAGCCTGTCATAGAAGAAGTCTCTACTGGAAAACAAAAAAGTCTATGTTTGAATGAAATGTCGCATAATGAAATTATATTCTGTGCACTCACTACAAAGAAATACAGCTTGGCTGAATGAGTAATTACAGGGCAGAGCTAGGCAGTGGGGGGGGGAGGGGGGCAGCCTCCATCTAGTAATGTCCTCAAGATTGTCCTTAATTGCACTAAGTACTTGATTTATTGCATAGGAATACAGATACAATAAACGCATCTGTAATAGTTTCTGATTACATTGACATGTTAGATTCACTAGTAGGAAGAAAATCAATTGGACGTGACATTAAGACATACTGAGAAAAATAATTGACAAATTACTCAATCAAAGTGGCATGGCCATAGAATGACGTACCTTTCCTCTTTGGGGCCAATGGTAATGGATCCTGCCCAGCATCATTGAGGTGCACTGTCACATCCAAGGCGCTCTTCGAACCAAGTGAATCCTCTGCTTTGAAAAATTGAATTGACACAAAATCAATACATGCAAATTAAACAATACAATGCTAATATACAATTAAGCAGGCACTGATCTACTTGCTCAGACCCACTGTCTCTCCGATCGACATCCACTCAGATAAGGACATGCAAAAACAAAATACCAGTCAAATGTTTGATTAAACAGCATGCAGCAAGATGCTTATATTAATACTAATGTTGCAATCACCTATGGTTCTCTGTTTTGTCTTGCATCTACTTCCAAGCTCTACAAATGAAGCAATAACAATAATGATGCAATCAAGAGTGAATATTATACTATCAAGAGCCAAGGGCAACAACCAAGTAGCCAATGCATGGGTGACACAAAACAGTATAAAACTCATCTTTATATTTCAACTAATAAATCCCCTTACTGTTATCCAGTTTGATCAACGTATCTTTATCAAACCATTCTCTTTTGATATGGCAAGCACATAGTTGTTGGTTCTTCTTCAGGGCGCCTTGAAATTTCACCTGCAATTTGCCAGTACAGCCAATATCGGTGTTTCGCCGGATGTACGACCTGATAGAGTCCGCAGTTATGTTGTTACTAACGCTATCTCCAAATATTTTTTTCACACAATCCAGGGCAGACTGCACATTAAAGGTAATAGTCATTCCGCAAGTGCATTTTGTTGGCTTGAACTGTTGGTCGAAGAAGGTTAAAGCCTACAGCCAAAAACTCGTGTTAATGTACATTTCATTCAAATCATGCTGTGCAAATAGACCTCACAAGCAGGGATGATTATCATAGCCAGCAAAGGGAAAGTGTTCATCCCACTATTCAAATTACTCAAAAGCCTTTGTATTCAGCCACCCTAACCTCTGAAAACAAGATACCTCGCCTGGTTCCAGGTGGTCAACCATGCCTTCCTAGAAGGTATGATCAATTAAATGTCAGCAACAGAATCAATAAGTCAACTCCAATTAGTTGTTACCCCCAAAATTCTGCTGCCTCAATTTCTAGAACCATACCTGATCAGTATCTTGTTGATCAGCCTTGTTTACACAATGGCAGTAATCAGGAGTCGATTCATCAGTTAGCGCATGGGCAAGTCAACTCCGATGCTTCCAATAAGAATATGATTAACAACACCAATGCATTAAACTGCAACCGAAGTCCCCACAGGCACAGTCCATCTATTGATGTCAATTCTACTGAATCTAGAGTAATTCACCACCCACCTAGTCCATCCAACTCACGTGATCAATCAACTATGATTAGAGATAGGCATCAACCACCTATGCCACCTCACCGTACCAAGATTTCTATATTGGGAGACTCAATGATAAAGCGTGTTCAATCTCGGCAAATTCGGCAGGCAGTGAGTACTAGTAAATCTGTCTACATCCGCTCTTTTCCGAGTGCAAAATCTTTAGATATGACAGACTTTGCAAGACCAACTATGAGGGACAACCCGGACCACATTATAATACATATTGGTACAAATGATGTACGCCAA